TTATCTGAGAAGACACGTGTTGAAATGTCATTTGTTGTGTGTCTATAATATTTTATCTGAGAAGACACATATTAAAATGCCAGGACTCTGCAGTTGTGACAGCATATGGCCATAATTCCATATTTCTCTACTAACGACTGGGATGGATGTCACCTTGCATGACGTGACACTTGAATGTGAAAGAATAAATGACTCAATGATGAAAAAATGACTCAAGGTAGGTTCACTAGTTTGGTGGGACGTTCTTGGAAGTGACAGCTGAAGGACAAAGCTGTATCCAAATGTTTATGAAGAGTGAACAATGTGATTTAACAAGCGTTATCTGTGGGTGAGTAGAAACCATCTGACCAAGTGTTCACAGTGAACCTGTTCATAAAATCCCAACTTTTTGTTTAATAATCTATAAATTCTGGAAGCTGAGTGCTCATCTATTTGGGGCACATCTCCTGAAAACCATTTTAATTTATTTACATGTATATACATGTAAATAATATATATTATAAATTAATTTTCCATTTAATTAATTTATATTTAGAATACATTTAATTAAATGTAATCATGTATGTAAATTATATATTATAAATTTAAATTATGGTTAATTAATTTATATTTATGTTATGTTTAATTATGATATCTGAGGGAAATTCATGGCATTTTCCTGTGTCTCCTTGTGGAGGTGACACTGTAACATGATGATCTAAGATATGATGGACCATCTGTCATCACTGATTTATTTTCATACAACATCAAGGAAAATGTGGCCACGTGACACTAATATAAATCCAATATGTTGTCTCTTGTGGCTGAATGCACTTAGCTCACCTGATGTAAAAAGTAATGCACATTTCCTTGTAGTTATCATAATATAGAACATGACGTACGTAGATCCTCAGTGGCCCATTCTCTCCTATTAACTTTACATCATCAGCCGCTAAGTAGAGGGTTCGAAATTCCCCTGAAAGCTAGCCAAGCATACACACTTCAAATTTTGTCACATACTATTCAAATTTTGTCACACACTTCATTTTCAAAGCCAGTCAAAATAATTTTCACAGATGTTCTTATGTGACATAATTACCAGGGACATCTTTGTAAGAAATAATGTGTATGTTTTCTAAACGCTACAATTCTGAAATATGAATTCAGGTTGAACTCTGTGCATAAACTGTAGTATGTAAAATTTACAAAGCATAAAATCAAGCAGACACAATTAAATTTAATTAAACATAATACAAATATAAATTAATTAAAAATAAATTAAATCTCTAATATAATTTATATACACAATTTATTTAAATATAATATAAATATAAAATAATTAAATATATATTAAAATTATAACATATAATATATATATATACATATATATATATATAAATTAAAATGATTTTCAACAGATGTGTACCAAATATATATATTGAACGGAAGAGGCACTTTGTATATTACTGAAAGAGATATATCGTTTAGGTACTGGAAGAAAACACATTTCTCAGATGACTACTGACTTTGTAAGCACAGGTAAAGATGTTATGAATAGAGCAAAAATACAATAACGTAAGAAATCTGAAAAATTAACAAATCCTCCTGAGAGCTGAACATGCAGATTATATGCTTCTGTCTTGTCCCTGTCAGAAGGTCATTGTGAAGAATAAACTGATAACAAATGCTGGGATGGCTACATCCAAAGGGAGTGTTTATCCACATCTAGAAGTTATGGAGTCTCATCCGAGAGCATTTGAATGGGTTTGTGGAGGTTTCTTCAAAGGGTAGAAATTAAAATAGCACCAGACCTTCATTTACCACTCCTAGGAATATACACAAAGACTTCACATCTTCATACAGAAAAATTAAATTTATAATATATACTTTATATACATAATTAAATTTAATTAAATACAATATAAATATATTAATATAATGTAAATTAAATTTGAAATCATTTGTGTATTATTTTCATTTTTATGAATATTCAGGTCACAAGAGCCAAAATTTACATCAACCTCTAAGCTCATCAAGAATAATGCCTCATGAAAGCATGGTATAGATTCAAAAGAGAGTAGAGTGATCAATTAAATCAGAAAATATGCAAATAAACGCATGACATATACTGCATGGGGTGATCTATGGCCAGGAAAGCAAGCAGCACGTTTTCCTTCTCATGTAGACACCAGCTTCACTTTCAGGTTTCATGTGATTTGCATGGAGTATATTTGAACGCAAGACTGTAGAAACAGGCCTTGATGGGAAAGGCACATTCAGAGAAGTTGTGTAGTAAGTGAGATACATGTGTGAAGTAAGATACACGTGAGCAGGTGGCAGAGACCGGATGTGCATGTGTGCAGAACAGTTCACACACATAGTGACGTGAAGTAGAAAATGAAAAAAAACAGGGACATAAAGAGTATTAAGCTGAATAAAATGTGTTTAAAGAAGCTTCATGGAGAAAAACCTATTTCTGTGCAATAAAATCCATGGTATAAAGTTATAGTTGTTTGACTAAATAATGTTCCCCACATGCTCAAAACTTGATTCTGTATCAGTCAAAGTAAACTTTCTGAGTTAAGCAATTCCTACCACAGCATTTCAGCTTTTATATACACAATGAAATTTAATTAAATCTAATAAAAATATAAATTAAATATAAATTAAAATAATATAATTTATACACATAATTAAATTTAATTAAATATGACAAATCTAAATTAAATTTATAATATACAATTCATATACACGATTAAATTTAATTAAATATAATATGAATATAAATCAATAAAATATAAACTAAATTTATAATATATAATTTATATATGTATATATAAGTAAAATGGTTTTCAACAGAAGTGCATCAAATAGGTGAGCACTCAGCTTCCACAAAATATAGATTATTAAATAAAAATTTGGGGACAAGCATGAACGAGTTCACTATGAATACTGGGTCGGATGGTTTTTGTAACCTCAGGTAATGCATGTTTTCTCCTAGGTTATGGGTGCTCAGTGAGACTGAATAATAACGTCCTATTTCTGGAAAAAAATGAGAAACTTTGAAGGCAGGATATGGAAAAATCAGTCTTGAAATGAAGAACATCCC